AGTTATATTATTTATATGCCACTAAATTATGTTTTGATTATTTCTTTCATTTTCTTTTTCTAAGATTTTATTTATTTATTTGACAGACAGAGATTACAAGTAGACAGAGAGGCAGACAGAGAGGAAGGGAAGCAGGCTCCCTGCTGAGCAAAGAGCTTGATCCCAGGACCCTGGGATCATGACCCAAGTTTTTTTTTTTTTTTTACTGGTTTCTCAAATATGCAGATATATTCCTTCATTTATTTTGGTATCTCTGACTTCCACCTTAAACCTTTTACACATGCCTCCACCTGCCTTTTCTTTCTATGATATGGGGAGTTGGTAGTTAAAGCTTAGTCAAGGCAATACAGTGCCCTCCCTGTAGCCCAATGATGTAAACAAACCATTTCAATCACTAAATTAAAAACCACAGAATAGTTAATTACATTAACAAGGTTCAGTTCACATTCCTTAAGTGGGATTAATGAGCCCAATATAACATCACTGCTGTAAGAAGACAAAATTATGGAAAACGTCTAGCCCATGGCAGGGTTTTGTCAATTTTTACATTCTGCAACATCCCACTTCCTCTCTCTCCTGTTAAAGAAATTAATTTGGCATTCACTTAGTAGCATTACTGTCAGAGAGAGCAGTGATAAGTGTAAAAGGAAGAAAGGAAAGTAAATGCTCATTGTCATAATGTATGACTGATATTTGGCGGCATTTTTTGTATTATGACACATCACCAAATGGAACTAGGGAATGTGGAGAAAATTAACTAACTACTTTGTTTTATTTCATGCATTATACTCTCCCCCCTTTTTACTGTTTGATTGAACAGCAGGCACATAATTTTCTATGGAGCTTAAGAGGGCATAATTAATTCCATAATTTAATAAATATTTGTTGGTGCACTGTTGTGGAGGGGAATGTAAACTGGTGCATACACTGTGGAAAACAGTATGGAGTTTCCCCAGAAAGTTAAAAATGGAGCTACCTTATGATCCAGCAGTAGCACTACTGGATATTTACCCAAAGAATATAAGACTACTAATTTAAAGGGATACATGCACCCCTATGTTTATAGCAGCATTATTCACAATAACCAAATATGGAAGGACCCCCAAGTTTCCACTGATGGAATGGATAGAGAACATGTAATATATATACAGTATATTTTTATCATAAAAATAATGAAATCTTGCCATTTGTAATGACATGGATAGAGCTAGAGAGTATAATGCTAAGCAAAATAAGTACTTCAGAGAAAGACAAATACCATATGAATTCACTCATATGTGGAATTTAAGACACAAAACAAAATAAATGAAGAGAAAAAATAAGAAAGAGAGACAGAGAGAGGAAAATCAAGAAAAAGACTCTTTTTTTTTAAATATTTTATTTATTTATTTGACAGACAGAGATCACAAGTAGGCAGAGAGGCAGGCAGAGAGAGAGGAGGAAGCAGACTCTCCGCTGAGCAGACAGCCAGATGCGGGGCTCGATCCCAGGACCCTGAGATCATGACCTGAGCCAAAGGCAGAGGCTTTAACCCACTGAGCCACCCAGGCACCCAAGAAAAAGACTCTTAACTATAGAGAAGAAACTGATGATTACCAAAGGGGAGGTGGGGAGGAGATGGATTAAATAGGTGATGGGGATTAAGGAGTAGACTTGTGATGAGCACAGGAAGTGTTGAATCACCATATTGCACACCTAAAACTAATATAACGCTATATGATAACTAACTAGGATAACAATAGAAACTTAATAAGTATTTATTGAAAGCTATAGTCCAAAGATAGGAAATTATAACTACCACACAGAGGTCAGAGGACTGCAGAAAACTATTGTTAATTTTACATGTCCTCCAGAGACTTTGGGTGCAAGAGTTGTGTAAGAATGCTAAAGCCACCACAAAAATTCATGTTTTATATCTTTTGGAATCCATATAAAGAACGACTTTCATCCCCATTCCATTTTAAAATGTCATACAAATGTGTATCATCGGTAAGACCTAAACCATATTCAGAATCCTGCTGGCCAAGAAATCTGAGAAATATAATTTATAGGCTTCCAATTTTTGCAACACATGGGAGTGCATAGAAAGAGGTAGAAAGGCTTCCCAGTGTTACCTGACAATATCAAAAAGGTCCTCTGAGTTTTATTCCTCTAACACTTCTAATGATTTTTTAACATACCAGATTTCCTATATTAAATCTTTTCTGTTTAAAAAACCTAGTACAGGGCACCTGGGTGACTCAGTGGGTTAAACCTCTGCCTTCAGCTCAGGTCGTGATCTCAAGGTCCTGGGATCGAGCCCCGAGTTGGGCTCTCTGCTCAGCGGGGAGCCTGCTTCCTCTTCTCTCTCTGACTGCCTCTCTGACTGCCTCTCTTCCTACTTGGGATCTCTGTCTGTCAAATAAATAAATAAAAATATTATTTAAAAACCTTATAAAATACCTAGTGCAGTTTCTCTTTTGCTGACTAAGTCCTGAGTGATATATACTCCCCAAAGATTTTGATTGGATAGTTTTTATACAAGTGGATGGCGATTCATATTTTGAGAAGCAATATTTTTAAGGGCCCATTCAATGTTTTATTTAATATAAAACACATACATAATGTATGTATACATATATTATGCATATATAACTTGGAATACTATCTAATGAACATGAACCTTGAATAAATCAGATTCCCATCTCCTTCTCTCTTTAGCCTTGTCCACCTCTTCTTCTTTAATGAAAAAGATGAAAATCATCATGGATTTTTAAAAATTCCAGGATAAAGTCTAAAGTGGTAGTTTTGGGGCTCCATGTAGTGGGTTCAAGGAAAGTGCTGATGGAGGTGAGGGCAGGACAGCCAGCAAGGACATGAATGGAACTAAAGGGTATTATGCTAAGCAAAATAAGTCAATCAGAGAAAGACAATTATCAATTATGAGGAATTTGAGAGATAGGGCAGGGGGTCGTGGGGGGAAGGGAGGGAAAAAAATGAAACAAGATGGGACCAGGGAGGGAGACAAACTATGAAAGACTCTTAATCTCAGGAAATAAACTGAGGGTTGCTGGAGGGGGGTGGGGGAGTAGGGATAGGGTGGCTAGGTTATGGACATTGGGGAGGGTATGTGTTATGGTGAGTGCTGTGAATTGTGTAAGACTGATGATTCACAGACCTGTACCCGAGAAGCAATGTTTTTGAGGGATTTCCTCCACCTACGCACAATATTGGAAGGGATAAAATTGCATTCCCTCTCTAGGCTTTCCTTGTCCTATTGGCTATTTCAGTGGAATATTTCTTGTGTGTGATCTATCCAGTAGATCTATCATTGCTTTGATGAGTAAACATTGCACTAACTTCCAGAAAGACAGGATAGAAAGTTAGAGAAACCATTCAGTACCTCAGATAATCGTGAGTAAATTACTGAACCACAAAACAGCAAAGACATGTTCCTGAGAGCCCAGTATTCCAAGTCTTCAGATTTGCTAATCAGAAATGCACAGTCAATACTGCCAAATTTTCAAATGCTTTTAGGAAACTTTTTCTTGGCATGAAATGACCATTTCAAATATTGACAAGGAAGTAATAAACAACTTTACAGTTAAACAAAACATTTCTGTGGGACAGACCTAGGGATTTAGTGGCATAGCCTTAGGAACCACTGGTTCAAGACCTTGACTCTAGGACTCTACTGTGCTGGAGCATAAGTATTCAAAAATAAAACAAACTGTCTTTTGTATCAGAATGTTTCCAGGCTATGGAGAAAAAAGGAGCACAATACAAATATTCATGGGATATAGGGGCAGCACAGAAGAGGGTGGAATTAAGTCTAAGTAGGACAGAACAGGTTACTGGAGGAATGTATTATCTGGGTTTCAAGGGATGTATAAGGGCTCATGAGACATGTGCTTAATGTGGGGAAAGTGCATTTCAGGAAGAAGGAACAATATATACAACATTGCATAATGAAATGACAGTCTTCATAGGAATCTGTAATTAATATTGCAGAATCATAAAGTAAGAGTGGTGAGGTGGGAGCTATGAAGGAATTGAAATCAGAGGAAAGGAGACCAGTAAGACAGAAGCCATAGTTCTGACAAGAGATGGTGACTTGAAATAGGGTAATGGAAATAAGACTGGAAGGGAGAATACCCAAGAGAAACTTTCGCACACAAGCACCAGGACACATATCCATCAATAGGTAAATGAATGGGATATTATACAGCATTAAAAGTGAATGAGCTACAGCTACATGAGTGAATCTTAGAAACAAAATGTTTAGCAAAAGAAAAACGTCCCAAAATGCTACTTAGAAAAAGATACAAATAGATCTGTATTTGAAAAGTAAAAAACATTGTTTAGGCATATATGTATGTAATAAGAATATACGTAGCAAGAGCATGGAAATAGTAAATGTAAACCAAGATACTGGTTTCTTTAGGATGGCAGTTGGCGGAAAATGTTGAGAAGTTTTAAATTATCAGTAATATTCCAGCTTTTTGGTTGGGTACCAGATTCACAGGTTTTTACCATAATTTAAAAGGGTAGATGGATCGATAATAGTCATTTACGGCCCCAAGACGAAAATGTCATGACCAAATATTCTGTTTATTTCTGTTCTCTGTACTGAGGGCTACAAGAAAGACATATTTTGGAGGTGAAATCGGTTGGTTTCCAGACGTTTTTTAAACCTTAAATTGGTTTTAGATCAGCTCCTCCAAAGGAAGAGGCCTCACTGTGTGAGGCCCACGTGCTTTTACATCCCGCGCTTTTTGCCCTTTGCCCTTGGCCATCATCGCTTCCCCTCCAAAGGGAAACGGGTGACGCCAAGCGGTGGGGAAGGGGGAGGTGCAGCCCGCGGGTCCAAAGAGTTCCTATTGGTGGGGAGAAGGAGCGAGAACGAGGCTCGAGCTGAAGCTTGGAAAAGAGGGGTGAAGGGGGAGGGGCTAAACGGAAGGCGGGGCTAAAAGAGCTTAACTGGAGTGAGGCGCAAGTGCAATTGTCCGCGCGTCGCTGCGATGGCGGCGGCGCCGAGCACAGTCACACCGCTGGCGGCAGAGTCTTCCCCTCAGGAAGCTACCGTCTCTGCCGCCTCCTCCTCCTCCTCCACCGCCTGCGCGGCGGCGGCGGTGGCGGCGGCAGTGATTGTGCCTGCCTCCTCCGCCACCTCCACCCCTGCCAGCCCGCCTGCCGGTGGCTGTGGCGACGGCGGCGGCGGCTTTGGCGGCTCCACTATGGCGGCGGCGGGGAGGGGGGGCAGTAGTTTTAAAGTAGACACCCGCCCTTGCCTCAGAGAAGGTGAGTTCCCGTCCTGGGCTGTGGGAGCGGCCCCATCTCCTTCGCTGCCTCTCTTCAGCCTGTCCGAGATCGGACTGGGCGCGGTTAGCCATCGCCCCACCCCCCACCTGCTGTGGCGCAGTAAAGGCCAAGCTCGCCCCGCCCCGCCCTGCCATAGTAGCCCCGAGTGTGCAAGACGGACCGAAGCAGAGAGGGGCTTCCCTACTTCGCCCCCACAAAGGATGGAGGGGATCCCCAGGAAAAGGAGCTGCAGGTATTAACAAGGCAGGAGTTTGAAGGGAAGAGAAATACCACATAGTTTTTCTCCCAGCGAGGGTGCCTCAGTATGGTCTACGAAGCTGAGGTGCGATTTGGTTAAAAAAAAAAAGAGAGAGGAGGCAAGGTAGAAGTGCTGTGGAACTGGACGGTCAGGAAAAGGGAAGGAGGACTGATGGAGAAAGGGGGCAGATATTTTTTTAAAAAGGTTGAAGAAATAAGTAAGAGGGAGGAAAGCCCATGTGGTGAAATTCATCCTGCAGTGTAGAAACTTGGAGTAGGGTATTTAAAGAGAAAGGAGGTTAGGAATCTGGGAAGGTTAGAGTGTATACTTGAGCTTTAAAGTAGGAGCTATTAGATTTTAGGATCATAGGGTCTGGTGGAGGGCGTTGTACTAAGAAAAGATAAATGAATAGCGTGGTAGAAGCACAGGTTTCAGAAATCACTTTGGAGAGTTTTCTTTGGCTATTTGAGAGTGTGACCTTGTAGAGCAAGGTTTAGGGGCCCATCTTTGAGATGATTTTGATTTTAAGAAGTGCTGTTTTACGTACCAACACATACTACTCCTAACATAAAAAGATATTTCTTGGCGATTTCAGTAATAAGTGGTTTCTAGTTCACACAAAATACTATATACTAGTAAACAGCCTACTAATAGCAAACTGTAAATTTTGCCATTGAAATGTGTTTTAAAGCAGTGCTTGAAAATGCTTCTTAGATTATTGAGACCGATTCCACTACAGAAGAGCTCAGTAAAGCATTTAGCCATCGTCAATTTAGTAATTAATTTCCAGTATTTGTGTGTTACCTTATGTTGCTAACTGGCCTCCAAAGTGAAAGATGTGGACAACAAAGTGAAGTAGAATAATTTAAGTTCCTTTTTCTTTGGACACCCCATTAAAATTACCCCATAAAAATTATTTTCTCTTCACATTTTTAAATGGTACATCCCTCTGTGCTATTTCATAACCTTTCACACCTTTCACTTTGGAGGAATGGCAAAGCAGTAAAAGAAAATCCTTTATAATATTGGTCATAGGCACATTACATAAATGCCACTTACTTAATATGGAAGTCAGAAATATACTGTGATAATGGTGATGTCTTTTTATTTATTAACTCTTTTATTGAAGGCAACTGTTGAAAGACTGTAGTGTCTTTAGTCAGCCTGGATTTGTACAGTTGTTTCAGGATGAAAATAGGAAATCTGGATTTTTTGTTTTTATACCAAACTATGTATAACTAGAAAGAAGGAAAGAACAATTTTTAGAGGTGGTTGAGATCACAATTCAATCTGGCTGTCATGGCCTTTCCACAGTATCTCCAGTATTCCAGTGTCTCATGGATATCTCATGGAGCAAATGGCTTTTTGCCTGCCTCTGTGACTGGCTTGATTATAGTATCTTTGTATTTATGTAGGTATTGATGGCTTTAAGAGATAGAAATTCATAAAGTAGCAGCAATACCCTGTAAATACTATTACTAGCTGGCAAAATGAAGAGAGCTCTAGCATAGGTGTCTGGTGCAGTGAACTTAGATTCTATTGTTCATATACTAGATTTTGTGACCCTGAACAGATCACAAACTTCCTGAATTTGGGTTTTGAAATTTCTGAAATAGAGGTTTTAGACCAGCCAAACTCCAAGGTTGATTTCAGATCTGAAAATATGAACCATGATTTTGCGGTTCTGCATTGATACTCTCGATGGCATTTCATGGCTGTGCAGTAGGACAGTAATTCATAAGCCCTGAGAAACTTTGGCCATAGTTCCCATTTGACATTCAGTGAGTAATGAAATCTGTGTTGTTAGTGTCGAGACCATTTACTAGGATGTGAAAAACCAAATATAATTGCTACCTAAAAATTATCTCTTACCATTTCATTTTAGGTGAATATCCTTCATTAATGTTTCACTCCAAACCAAAACTCTCTTACCTTTCCACTTAACAAAAGATAAATAGGTGATATAGTACACTATCGAAGACATTGTTAGGTCTCAAAAATATTTTTGTTTAGGTATATATAGAGACTATAAATGGTTGCCAGTAGTACAATAATAGGTAAAGGAGAAGAAAGAGAAATGTTGCTTAATGGTGTATCTTTTGCTTGTTTGTTTTTTGAGCCTTAGTTAGGAAATTGGTCTAAACAGTGACAAAGAATTGTCAAGATTCCAGTTATTATAGGTCCACTCCAGATAGAACCATTAAAAGTGGTTTGATTAGGAGTTTGCTAAACTATTTTCAACTATAGCCAACATCTTTCTTGGGGTTGATAATGAGCAAATGTCTGTGGAGATTAGAAATTGCCAAGCAGAGGAGATGAAAAGCTTTCAATGTTACAAATGGGAAATTCGGTAATAAAAACAAAACAAAAGAAATGCCAAGTAAATGGGCATATGACAAAACACATACCTACCCAGAATTCGTGGTAAGAGGAGTCATGAGATTTTATAGGACACTTCATTTTTCATTCAATTCATTCAATTTCATTCAATTTTGAAAGTGTTAAAAAACATTTTCAAAAATGTTTAATGGCTCAAAAATGAACTTTCACCCAGTGTTGATGTCCCAATGTAATCATAGTAAAAATCAAAATGAAAACAAATCCCTTTTATTTACCTCTTCCTTTTAAGAAAAATAATTTCTTTAAGTGGGTTGTGTTTTAGATTGGAGGACATGCTGGCTTTTTATTTAGTTAATAATCCGTTTGCATAGCAATTACCCAACAATTACCTTTGTCTCCGTATTATTCAGTAAAGTTTCAAATCCACCATAAGAAAACCTAGTTAATGGCCTTTCCTTCATTTATTCAGGAATCATTTATTTAACACTGTATGTGTGTGTGTGCCGGGCACTACACTAAGTGATGAGGATATAGGTGGATTAGACGTGGCTATATTAAAGAGCTCAATAGTAGTGCTTGATAGTAAAATTATAAAATGAATAAATAACTGGGAAAAGTACAATTTTAAATAACACTTGTCAAACTCTTAAACTATCAGGACTGCCCCATTGTTTATTATAAATCTGTATTCTGCCTGTGGTGTCTTACATACTACAGGCACACTAAAACACATTATATTATAAATGTAGTATCTAGAAAGGAATTAGCAAACTGTTAGAATTAATTTTTAATTCTTTACATTTGGCAGGGTGGGGCTGTCTGGAGCGAGGTTAATGACCACTTATTCGTTTTTGACCCCCTGTTTTTAATTAGGTGTCAATATGTGATAATACTGACTAAGCGTGTCCCCTCCTGTATTCATCACATATCTGTTATGGTATGAACTTTGATTCTTTTCCACCTGAAACTAGTCTTGGAGATCCATTCACATTTACGAATCTGTTGGAATGAATGGCATGGTACTTTTCTGACACCAAGTAGTTGTCATAGGATCAAGTAAATATACACAGGACTTGAATTCATTTTATAACTTTACAAACAGGCAGGATTCCAAAGCTAATGAGCCACAGAGTGCTTATAATTATGAAGGTCAGGGACTTAGTTTAAATAAAGACAGAGTTAATACTGAACATGTAACTAGTACTCCCAGTTATTTCATTAATTACGTTGTATTTTGTAATTCTTAATATGCTATAGGAAAGCCTTCATTATGTTTTTATTGTAACAATCTATGTAAAATAGCTAAACTTGACAAACTTATAGGTCAAGTACTAATCTTATAAACTGAGAAAGTAAGGATACTAGATAACATTATAACTGATTGTTCATAATGCTCCCAGGTACAAATCTGCATTTCTGGCACAAATAATCTTTCTGAAGACTCCTTAAATGGGTTGTGACATTTAGGGGGGAAAAGAGTTAAAACACCTTGGCAAGGTTAATATGTTCCATTTTCCACTTTAACTTAGTGTTGAGCTCTGTTTATCTTTCCTTTATATGATGGCATTAAAAAATTGTAAAGGTCAAATCAGTTATTAAAAAATCGTTTTAAATCAAAATGTTTGAGGGAGGCTATCTCGAAAGGTGTAATCATGGAGAAAAAGCACATAAGCTCTTTTCAGAATTAAAATGATGATTTCTCTGGTTTATTAATACCTGACTACATCTGAGACTAATAGTAAAATTTATGTTTATATGATTGCAGACAACTCTTCTGAGCTTTGCTCCATTCTTGTCACTTTATTAAAATAGGATGTGAAGACATTTTTTACAATGCTATTTTTTTTTGCAAGATTAGTTGGACTGTGAAATTCCCACTTCAACAAAGCATTAAAGCAGTTAATAGCTAGTTATTGCCAAAAACATCTGATGGGTTGTCTTGAGGAAGAAATTTAGTGTTTTGTACAACTAAATCTAATTGTCATGCAACAAATGCAAGTAAGATTCCTTTTTTAATTGTAGCCATTTATATATAGAATCATCTAATTTGAATAAGCTTAAATTTACCAAGATAACCAAAGAACATTTCATTGGAGTGAACAAGAAAGTTCTTATACTTAAAACTGAAGGATGTTACAATCTGCCTTTCCTCGAAGATCTTGTATGGGTTTTTTTTTTTTTTTTGATTTGTTTGTTTTTGAGAGAGAGAGAGAGAGCCTGCAGCCATGGTGCCTGGCACGCCGGCAGGGGGCGGGGTGTTGGTGTAAAAGGGAGAGAGAATCTTAAGGAGGCTCCCCGCCCAGTGCAGAGCCCAACAAAAGGTTTGATCTCAGGACTGTCAGATTACGATCTGAGCCAAAATCAAGAGTCAGACACTTAACTGAATGAGCCACACAGGCAC